ATACCCGCTCAACAACGTCCGTGTGTTCGGAGTTTAGCAAAATCACTAAACCAAACCAGGCTTATCAGGAGCTCAGACGACCGATTTGCGCGTTCCCCCCCCCCCCACCGCAACTAGAACGACACCTGAGCAAATAACAATGCAAAGCACCGTGTCGAACTCGTGGTGAAAAGCGTTTTTGATAACATCAGGATTTTAGTCGGTGGGAGCATAAGCGAACATAACAAATAGACCGTCTAGTGCTACTCAGTTGAACGAGCTGCATACCGACAGCTGATGACGATAATCCAAGCAACTAATGATGACTAAGCCGTGACGATGAGAACGATTCCGACTTTTGGTCGCTGAATCAGTGTTACTGGATGTGGTTGACCAATAGCAAGAGGGCAAACCGGGTGAGGAGTCTTGATCCTATTTTGGACATGCAGAATGCGTAAATACTCAGTGTGCCCAACGCGAGTGCAACAGCAGCCTGCTGACACATGTGTCTTAGGATATGGGCATCGAATGGCGCCAGAAAAATAAGGAGGCTTCGTTTCGCAAAGGGATGATAACGAGAAGAGCCCAGTGGGTAACGTGGAGTGGTAGCTGCAGATGAATAAAGATTTTGAACTACATTTCATCGCCATGAGACTGGACCGATGGTTTGTGTGCCTCAGTGATCCATTGAGCAATGCTGGGTGGTGTTTTTTGCACCTTCAGAGCCACTCACACCAGATTGGTTAATGGTTAGAGGCCAGACAAACTCAGTCTCCTTGCCCTCCAGGTTGAGTGTGGAGTGAGGGTGACTTCTTACATCATAAAACGGGCTCTCTGTAGTCCAATGCCAAAACCTCGCTGCCTTGCGGTAAGGTTTTTGAACCAAAGTCTTTGGATGAGAACCCTAATCGTTCTCCTGTCTAGGCCTGGGCAACCTGACAGTATCATGCACACGCAATACACCATGACCTGTCCTTCTAACAAGCCCTCGATGCTCTGGCCGTCGCAGAGGATAATCAACGGCGCCCTATCTGCTGTATCGAGCAGGGTGGACAGGGGTTTGAATGCTACTGCTCAGGCCTTCCTGCCTTCTTATTCCTTCTCTTGAGCTTTTCATCCATAGCGTCCCGTTCCAGCTTCATTTTCATCCCTCGTTTCAATCCCCCAAAACTTGGCCCTCCCCCACCTTGCTTAAATAGTCCCTTGTCTTCTAGTCTCAACTCATACGCAATCGCAGGGCGTTGCTGCAATCCAGTCGACAAGTGCATGTTCAACCAAGCGCATAATGTCAGTCCAGCCGTTTCCCTTTGGAGTCCTCGCGTCTCGCTAAGACTGGCATGCCTCAACGTGCGCACTTTGCTACAGATTGGCCAACAGGCAGCACTTGCCCGCACACTAGAGACCCTATCGATCGATATTTTTTGTTTTTGGGAAACCCGCCTGCAAGTTTCGAGCTCCGTACTTACTCTGCGATCACCCACATGCAACATTGGCGGCACATTCTCATTGCGCCTATCTGGTGATGACGCAGCTTCAAATGCCGGTCAAGCTGGCGTCGGCATTGCTTTGAGTCCCCGCGTTGAAGCTGCCCTGATCGACTGGACCCCTGTCAACAGCCGGATGTGCGCCGTGAGGTTGGCTGGCTCGTTCCAGGCTTCGAAGTCGCACGGAAACAAACGGTGCCTGTTTGTCATTATGGCCTATGCCCCTATGAACTGTAGCACTGATTAGGTAAAAGATGATTTCTATCAGCAACTTCACGATCTTCGTTACAGAGAAAGTACGGATACTGTGGTGTTGGCTGGCGGGCTAAACGTCCAACTCGGAAAATTGTCCTTTGATGAGCTTCATTTGGGCGATCAACATTGTGTAGGCTCCCGTAATGATAACGGTGAGCGATTGCTACAGCTGTGTGAAGATGAGTCTCTTTCTCGTGAGCACAAACTTTCGACACAGCACCCGCAGAAGCGTGACTTGGCGCCTACCAGCTTCGGGCCAGCCATGGACGCAAATCGATCATATCGCGATCAGTTACCGCTGGAAAGGCTGTGTCCAAAACTGTCGCTCGATTTGGAGCACCAGCGTTGACTCCGATCACGCTCTTGTGTGTGCTGATCTGCGGATGCGTTTCGGCGGACGTCCGCAACGTCCATGTGAACGGATTGACACCAGCCAACTGGCGAAGCCAGGTGTTCTGAATGCGTATCAAACTACGCTGTCATCTGGACTGAGTAAGCGTCCACTAAACACCGTTGAAGATCACTGGTCGCATATTCGGCAAACGTTACTATCAACAGGCATGTCTTCATGTGGCAAATCAAATCGCCAAAATAGACACTGAGTCTCTACAAAGTCTCTAGAACTTATGGATGCTCGCCGACGTATTCCGGCTGGAAGCGAATACAATGAGACTTGCAGAAATCTCAGGGCAAAACTGGGTGCTAGTGTGAAGAGAGACCGCAAAGCTTGGTGGTCTCATCGTGCATCGGAGATGGAAACAGCCGCTACCGTCGTGTTACTCCGTCTGATACGAGAAAAAGGCAGCAGAAGACCTGGTGTTAACGAGACCATGCGCGAAGAGAGTGGACAGCCGATCCTTAGCTTGTCAAAACGCTTGGAGCTTTGGGTCGAACAAGTTGCGAGGCAGTTCAACCAACCTGAGTTATCGCTTTCTCTTTCGGGCATTGAGTGCCCATCTCCATGTGCCGTCTCCTTGAATCCGCCCTCACGCGCAGATGTCGAACGTGAGATCAGACTGTTGAAATGGTATAAGGCCACTAGTGCAGACAGAATTCCCCCAGCTCTCTACAAATTCGGGGGACCTGCTCTTGTTGATGAATTACACGATTTGATAGTGAAACTTTGGTAGCAGGAGACTATTCTGACAGACTGAAACCACTCCGTCATTGTCCCAATTTACAAGGAAGGCTCCGTTCGGAATGTGGCAACTATAGAGGGATCAGTCTGATTTCGATTGCCTCTAAATTGTTTGCCCCCGTCGTTCTTTGCAGACTGACTGGCAGTCGTGAAAGCCAGATTAGTAAAGAGCAAGCCGGAGTTCGTCGCAGACGGGGCTGCATCGACTACATCTTCACCTTGCGTCAATTGTTGGAGCACTGCTATGTTTATTGGTGACCCACCGTTGTCGTGTTGCTCGACATCAAAGGTGCCTTCGGTTCGGTGGATCGATGTGCCCTTTACGACTCTCTGCAGAGGAAAGGTGCGCCCGATAAATATGTAAACATTACTAAAGCGCTGTAGGCGCATAGTTTGGGCATAGTGACCGTTTATGGCAAACTGTCGCCACCCACCAATAACTCCAGCGGTGTGAGACAAGGTTGCCCGCTGTCACCTTTCCTCTGCAACTTCGCTCTTGATGAAGTCATGGAAACAGCGTTTGCTGAACACGAGCTAGGTGTGGAGCTACTTCCTGGTGAGCGACTTCTTAACTTAGAGTACGCGGACGACATTGCCCTCATAGGTGACAGCGGCCAAACGTGTCAGACTGCACTGGACCGATTAGCACTGGCTGTCAGTCGTTTTGGGCTATGCTTTGCTCCATCGAAATGCAAAGTACTTCTCCAAGATTGGCAGGGACCCAACCCTGCGCTGACCGTTGGTGGTGATCAGCTAGAAATCGTTCAGGAATTCAAGTACCTGGGCAGCTATATTAGCGCCCGTGGGATCGAAGCTGAGATTACGAACCGTATAGCAGAAGCTCGAGGTGCTTTTGCCAATCTCCGCCACCTGTGGCGCAGACGCGACATCACTCGCGCCCTGAAGGGCAGAGTTTATAACGCAGCCCTCCGTTCAACCCTGTTATACGGTTGTGAAACCTGGCCCATCAGCTCGACAGACATAAAGAGGCTGGTCATGTTCGATCATCGCTGTCTTCGCAGCTTAGCTCATGTCTGGTGGGAGCACCGCGTGAGCAATGAGCGTGTTCGGCGTCGCGTATTTGGTGCAGGAAGAGCGAGTGAACCGCTCAGCACCAGGCTCCGATGGTTGGGTCACGTGTTGCGCATGCCAGCATACCGACTTTCGCAACATGCATTGTTTGCGCGTTGTGGGTGCGGTTGGAAGAGGAGGAGGGGAGGCCAAGCGATGACTTGGTCGAGAGAGATGAAAACCCTCACTTCGAAGTTGGCGTCGGTTGGTGCATCCCGACTGCTTTGCTTGGGTTCTAAGGATGATGAACACGTTTGGCTGATATGGCTTTGAGCCGGCCCCAATGGCGCGTGTTGTGAGTTTCTTTGTCCATCTCCTTCCTGCTTAGCATCCCCCTCCATTTACGATCTCACTCGTTAGGCATAATATAACTCTCTTTTTACGGCACGATAGCCAGCTGTTAGCTCTCCGGAACGATGTCCATTCCTTACTGGGGACTCAGCCGGTGTGCTACTGTTTGTTTTCTTTTTCTTGTCTTTTGTATTGCGGCACAATAGCTGAGGTGTTTTCCACCTGCAGCTAACGTGTATAATCATGATGAATGATGCTGATGTACTGCTGTTGATGATGATGATGAGTCGAGAGGGCAATTGTGGCAGTTGAACCGAGAGATGCCAAGGAAGTCGTGAGGATGTTTGGTAAACATGCAGAACTTGCTATAAGTGGGAGTGGTAAAGGAGGTTGGAAGACTGTGACACTAGAATCTTGACTAGATTCAAGGCAAGTAGGACAACGCCAGTGAGGACCCATACAAGTTCTCTTCACGAAGGAAGGTAGATCAGCGTTTTCTACCGCGTAGTATACCTAATCTTTAGTCACTTCAGTACTTGCAGTAGCAAGAAAAACGCTCCACAATCGGAAGTTTAATATCGCAAATCGAATCCAGTGGCAAAAGCAAATGCACTATTATAGACGCTGAAAGCCCATACCCGTTGCAGAAACTCCCGTGGTTGGCCGTCAATGAGGATTCTCTGGTACACCAGAGATTACTCTGATTTTAACCAATCGCGATGTGAATAGTGAACTGGGGTGAATCGAGCGTCGGTCTAGCATGGTAATGAAAAACCTAAAGGCTAAAAATCAAGAGAATCTCGGTCGGAAATGGAGACAGGAATGAAACCGGGCACGGAAATGTCGACGGCTCCGGCCGCAATGGTTCGCACCTGTGACAGAAAAGGTTTGGTGCTGTAACGCTGATTAGAAAGGTAAGTAGTGGTCGATCTGTAGACCACGTGGACGGGGTAATCCTGTTAGTAATGGATAAAACCACCAAAGAAAATCGTAAGAGCAAAACAGGTCACCAAAAGAAATTAAAATAAGAGATGGGAAGAAAGCAAGAAAAAGTAAAAAGTAACCAATGATTGATAAAACAATAGTCGAAAAATTAGTGAACGGCGATATGCACTTAATTTGTGATATGAAAAGCGCAAAAAATGCAAGATAGAAAGCTACTGCCAGAAACAGTGGTAAAAAAGTGGTGATGTGCAAACCGGACTTACGGGATCGTGGTGTAACCATGCTCCTTTATACTGCGATTTCATAGCATAGACAGATCGAGGTGGAGCCACTTCGTGAACGACCCGGACCACTCCACAGGCGCCGCGACCGATGAACTTGCCCAGCTTGAAGTCAGACAACTTGATGCGTAGGTCACTGAGTCGAGTCAAGGCGGGTTTGACTGGCAAACGATGAAAGAAGAAGAGGATCTGCACAATGATCATCTAATCGTTTTTGGGGTACTAGCTACTTAGAAACGATTAGTGTCTTTGAGCAACATGTTAGATCAAAATAAAAACCATGATACGAGAATGTAATGAAATTCGGAAGAAAAAAGTTGCTTAGGATATCTCAAACACTAAAGTTCGTAGAGGTTTGACAAACAAGTTAGACGAAAGGAACGAAAAACATTAGGCACCAGTTCTGCAACTCACTAAACCTAAGGCATACGGACCGGAAACCTGGCCATCGACTTCTAAATGGCGCCAGTCAGCTATTCAATTAATGGCTCAGGGTGGTGTCCCCTAAGACAGCAATACATCATCTTCGACAATAGGCTAGTATCCCAATCTCTGAAGAAATCATTGATCTTTCGATAGCTGCACCTATCCTTCATGGCACCAAATCTATTCATAAGATTGTATATATATATATATATATATATATATATATATATATATATATATATATGTATATATATTTGGTTGGCGACATCCGGTTTCGGATTTGCCTGTCACTGTGGCCAGCCACAGGACGCCTGCGTCTACAGTGGGACCATGGATGGAATGCGCTGCACCACCCACACACCCCATATCCAGTGTAAACCCGAAGGAATAAGACGGGGAGGCATGTGGATGGGTGCCATGTTTCATCAAGAGAGCCGACCCACACTCCTTCACAGGAAAACACAAGCACGCTGTATTTGGGAGTCAAGCGCACACAAAACGGTGGATGGACCGTAGTCCGCTCCACACTGAGTGCATTGAACCACTCTTTGATCCTAACACGACCAAAAGGACCGTGTACCCCGTCCCCTCCAGCAACGACCGACTGTCTCCTGGAGCCAGTATGGACGAGCAAGTGGGCAATAGACAGGTAGGCAACCTTGTCAACATGCACATCAAGCGCAGCCACACCGGGGATATCAAGCAACAGCCAATCACTTGAAACGACAAGATGAAATAAAATAAATCGGATAATGCATACAGATACGGCGGCATAACTCTTCACTAAATGGGCGTAAAAATTGATTACGAACGAATCCCGATACGTTCAAAGGTCAGAAAATATATTTTAAGGTAATGCCACAAACGCGAAAATGTTATCGAGATTAACTACAATTAGCTTCAGCAAGGTGCGCACGTTTATAGAAGATAGTATAAGTAAACCATGATATGAGAAAGAAAAGCATTAGGACAAAATTGCAAACCCACCACCTGAAATAAAGAGACAGCATGCAAGAACACGGTTATTAAATCGAATGCAGCGTACCTACAAACGCTGCGCCGGTTCTGTCTACGTTCTCTGCAGGACCGGTCGTCGCTCCGGTGGTGGTACTGAGTGTCTTCGCGCATGGCTCACTAAGCCTGCCTGACTCAGGCACTCGCGACCGCATATGCTACAGCACCATGCGCTCGATGTCGATGGAATACAACCACTCGGCCGGTATTTGAGTGGTATGCGCGTCCGGTTTGCAACCACAAGGTCAGCAGTTCGAATCCGCGTAGGGGCGGGCGTCCTCGGGGTATACTCAGCCCACGCGCGACTGGCGGTGGTCGCGTGGCAGCGAAGCGACGTTACGGCGTATAGCTGGCGAGTTATTAGTTTTAGTTACTTTCCGCTTCTTCTCTGCATGCATGAGGACTTTCTCCCGCACTTCGGCAACTTCCTCCGTGATCAGATCACGCCATGCACGCCAATCAACCGCATTCGATTCCCATGACCTGCAACCAAGATTAGAACGTGATAGGCTCACTTTGATCATGTCCTGGCAACATAACTTTGGTTTCCCCACGTGCCGCTTCCAAATACTCAGCTGAGCATATAATAGTTGTTTCGGTATCCGCGTCGAATACATATGGCTCACATGACCGAGCCACCTTAGATGTCTCAGCAAAAGTATGCAGTCCACTGCATACATCCCACTTCGACGCAACACTTCTGTGTCAGCAACTTTGTCGCCCCAACCGATGCACAGAATCCGTCGCAAACACTGTTAATGGAACCGCTCGAGATATCGCACATCCCGCCGGTACATCGTCCACGTTTCACTGCCGTATAGAAGAACGGACAGCACCATGGATTTGTACACCATCAGCTTCGTGCCAATGGTGAGCTGGTGGTTGTTCCACATTCGGTACTCTAGCTTCCCGAATGCCGCCGCTGACTTCGACACGCGGATACGCAGCTCACTGTGTAGCTGTTGGTCAGTCGACACCACACTCCCAAGGTAGCAGAAGCGGGAGGTGGTTTCCAATAATTCAGCACCAATGCTGATTCGCGGCAATATTGAAGACTGCACCTCCGGTGAAGGCTGAAAGAGACAGACAGTTTTGCTTGTGTTGATAGTGAGCCCGAATTTGGCCGTTGTCGAAGCCAGAGCACTAGTCATGTGCTGCAACTCATCCGCGCTGTGTGCAAACAACGCACAGTCGTCAGCAAACAGCAACATACGGATAGTTGTCTCACAGACTAGGGTGCTCGCATCGAAACGACGGATGTTCAGAAACCCGTCATCAATACGGTGCTTCAAAGGAACACCGTAAGCACAAGCCGCATCAAAAGCACAAGACATCATTGCATGAAGATAGATATTAAACAGGGCAGGAGCTAAGACACAGCCTTGTTTCACACCAGTGCCAACTACAAAGTCATCCGAGGTCTCTTTACTCAGCTGTACCCTCGCCCGCATACCATTATGCAGACATTCAACTACACTTACAAACTTACGCGGCCAACCAAACTTACCCAACACCAAGCACAACGCCTCGCGGTTCACCGTATGAAATGCCTTCGTGAAATCAACAAAAAGCGAGTACAACGGCTGGTGTCGTTCTCTGCACTTCTCCTGCAACTAACGAGCAGCAAACACCATATCTATAGTGCTGCGACCCGAACGGAATCCACACTGGGTCTTCCACCACGTTAGGTTCCACAACCTGACTGACGAGGCGGTTGAGCAGGATTCGGGCAATCACCTTGCCCACACAACTCAGCAAGTTGATGCCACGATAATTCGTACAACATTGCTTGCTACCTTTGCCCTTGTACAGGCACCTCCTCCTCAATCCATACGTGTTACACCAAGTGGTGCAGCATAATCCCCAACGCGGGTCCGCCGTGTTTCAATACTTCAGACGGGGTCCCGTCGGCCCCAGCACAATTGACGTTTCGCAGCTGAGCAAGTGCTCTCTACGTCTCATCCAGTGTCGGTGTGCGCGCCAGACTCGTCTTCACATCGTGCTGCTTCAGGCCATACAATGTAGGCCAGTCGATCTCTGAACGGTTGTTCAAGAGACAGTTAGTGTTTTTGCCAGATCTGCATTGTCTTCAGTCTGTGTGCAGGTAGCGCCTGAACTACCATCGATCAGTGTCCACAGCGGCTTCAACCTCGGTCCATACACCGCCTTCAAGGAGCCAAAGAATTCCTTGTGTTGGCGCCGTTCGGCGTAGCATTCCATTTGCCTCGCCTTGTCCGTCCACCATGCATTTTTAATGCGACGGAGCTCTCGGGTCAGTCGCCGTCGAAGTTTGCGAAACTGAATCTTCATCCCCAAGTCACTGGGGTCTGCACATGTGTAGCAAATTCTGCATTCTTCTCCGACAACAATGCGTCAATCATCGCATTTTTCTCAGCAAACCAACCAGGCCGCTTACAGTTTGCGCGCCCGATGGTCTCCTCGGCAGCAGCTCTCACCTGGTCGGAAATATGGTGCCACAGGTCGCCCACTGTGGCTATGCAGTTCACATAACATAGACGTGCAGCCATCGCCTTCTTCAGCTCAATACGTTTCTCCACTGTACCGAGGGATAGAATGTTAAATTTACGCCGATTCACGGCGGGAATGCAACAGATAGATTTTCGAAAATATATGCGCAGTTTGGTGAACACCAATTTGTGAGCAGTGTCACACGCAGCTCTACGCAGTACACGTGTTATGCGAACTTCACGCATATCAAACTGACGTACGATGACATAGTCCAGCAGGTGAGCGTGACCACTCCGGGGGTGAGTCCAAGTTACTATATCACTCGCACACAGTGCAAACCAAAGGTTTGTGATCGTCAGGCTGTGAGTAGCACACAGTGAGAGCAGCCTGTCACCGTTCGCATTCGCTGAACCAATGCCATGCGGACCGATAACCTCTGTCCACACCGATGCATCACGCCCAACGCGCACGTTGAAATCACCCAGCAGAAATAGTCGGTCGCTGCTCGGCACAGACCGTATCACGGAGGATAGCTGAGTGTAGAATTGATCACGTGTGTCATCAGGATAACACATGGTAGGACCGTACGTGCTTATAAAGGTGGCAAACGTACCTCCCCCAATTCGTAGGCGAACAGTCATCAGTAGCGCGTTGATGCCTGTTGGTTCAACCACGAGCTGGCCATGGAGGCGATCGGAGATTGCAAATCCGACCCCAGAATCACGTGGTGCTAAGGCGGCGGTGCCCACCCAGTAGAATGTGTAGTCAGCACCTGCTTCATGCAACTTACTTTGCTCAGCTGGCCGGGTTTCACTGAGCTCCGCAATATCGATGTGGTAGCGCGCCAGCTGCATAGCGACCATTGCAGTGCGTCGCTCGGGGCGCTCACTGGAGTTCCGGTCCAGTAGTGTGCGCACGTTCCAGAACCCGATGCTGGGTGCATTGCGCTCAAGCATACGATTGCATTGGTGAGCAATCGCACGCGAGGTGGTCATTGTGCATCGGCGGTTTGCTTGAGGGACTCCTCCCGGAGCCTTTGGATTAATAGTCTGACCCACAAGGTAGTGGGGAGCAGATCCAGGACGGGAATGTGATTGCGGAGACAGATAGGGATCTGCTTGACGGCCGTCACACGCAGTCTTTGAGGTTCTGGAACATTTTATATATGTTTTGCGACCGTAGTAAAATACGCACCTGCGACCACAGCCAGATGCAGGTGGGTTTTGGCGGGATGGCACCAATTTGACCAGGGGCTGCCCGATTTGAGGCGGGCAGTGGCAAACAATTGAACAGTCGGAGGTGTCCTCCCGCCGTCAGAGACAACGTGTGGCGCTCGTGCTCCACGCCAATCGAGCTGTGAGCATATAACCCGTAGACCTGTTGTCTCCCATCGCTAGGTTTTAAGGGAAGAGGGCCATCGACCACTTCCTAACCTCCGAAGAGGATGGACTAGGATACTGGCAGGGCACCCACACCTGACAGGAGAACGACTCGGGTCCTCAGCCAAAGCCTTCGATTAAATGTACACCCAAAAGGCAGAGGGTCTAGCACATGGTAAGTTCACTGACTCATGCGGATTCTTGTCCTGGATCTTAACAGGGAGAAGGGCGTAACTCAACTTCCACCCAGCGGTCGCCAAGAGGCGTCCAGGACATGAGCAAATGGTAGAACAGTAGCAGCAGTGGGTAGACCATCTGTCAGGATCTAGCCACCACCAGGCTCATATATATATATATATATATATATATATATATATATATATATATATGATGTTGCCTTCATGATGCTTCTTCCACGCTGTTGGGCTAAACCAACTTACTCACAAATTAGGTCTTTTTAAGCGGGATAAATTTCATTCCACTTTATTTGGTTTGTTCTGCCTGCCGGAATTATCGTCTGTTAACTGGCCACGTTGCATTCGCTAATTGTGGTTATATTTGTTAACTTTATTGCGTTTGTAGCATTTTTCTGTAAATTCTGAACATTTAGTACTTATTGTGGATTCGTTGATAACCAACTTACTTCATATGCTAATTTAGGGAAGAGTTATGTCTGAATAGCCGTATGGCTTAACTGGTTTATTTTATTTGATCATGTTATTTCAAGTGACTGGCTGTTGCTTAATATCCCCGGTGTGGCTGTGCTTGATGTGCATGTTAACAAGGTGCCTACGTGTCTATTACCCACTACCTCATCCATACTGGCTCTAGGAGACAGTTGGTCGTTGATGGAGGGGACGGGGTGGACGGTCCTTGTGGCCGTGATAGGCTCGAAGAGTGATTCCATGCACTGTGTGGAGCGGACTACGGTCCAGCCACCGCATTGTGCGCGATTGATTCCCAAATACAGAGTGCTTGTGTTTGCCTGTGAAGGAGTGTGAGCCGGCTCCGTTGATGAAATGTGGATCCCATCTACATGCCTCCCGATTTCACTCCTTCGGGTTTTCGCTGGATATGGGGTGTGGTTGGAGCTGTGGGTTGTGCAACGCAAGCCACACACATTTCATATTCACTGCAAACGCGAAGGAATAAAGCCGAGCCCCGTTTCCTCAACGGAGCCGGCCCACACTCCTTCAACATGCACAGCAGCAGCATTCCTGTCTACCTATGTGGGGAATCGTGTACAAGACGTACACAAGGCGGTGTCTGGGACGTAGTCCGCTCTACACTGGATGGAACCATACTTTGGTCGTGAGGACCGTGTAACCCGTCCCAATCCCAGCCACGACTCAGTCTTCTGGAGCTATTATAATCGAGGTGAAGGGTGTTAGACAGGTAAGCACCTTGTCGACATTCACGTCAAGCGCAGGCACATCAGGATAGCAAACCCTAAATACATGAAAAAGGATAAACACACAAACTAGGCAGTAAATGTTGGCAGTACAGTGGAACAGGAGGAACGCAAAAAATACATCAAGTCTGGTCTAGTGTTAGTATAGTGGTCTTGGGTAAACGTAAGTTTAGATCAGAGGATACCAATCAATAACCAACGAAAACGATAGAAAAAGGTGCAAAATGTACAGGGAAGATACCGAGGATTAATAGAAATGAGCAAATAAAATAAAATGGATCCAGCCAGGTCTAGTGTAACGGGAAACGCGCGTAAGTGTAAGTCACTCTAGCTCAACTGCGATGAAGAAGCATAACTTACGAAACATCAACGTTAGCTTGCAGTTGACTAATATACGAGTGGTGAAGTAGTACAACACATCGGTATAGGGTCAGGAGAGCAACTGAACTGCTCTTAAATGCATCATACCAGCAAACGGCGCTCCTTGTTGTGAATCAGGGTGTGGGTGCCGACTGTAGTTGCGTCACGGATAGATTACCTTGTGGGACTCGTGGATCTGTCACATGGGAAGTCTGCGGAAGTTACCATCCGCCCTTGCTTGCGCATCTCTCGAACCATCCTGAGACTGCTGGGCTTTCTTGACGGGATCGTAGTCTGTTTTAACCGACATCAGATTACCAATTTGGCTGTATTGTGTTCGGTGCCGTTAGGGAATGTTCTTATGGATCCCAGTGGGTCCTCATCTTTGGGATGAGTAGCTAGAGTGACGACGACTGGTAGTACTGAGCACGCAGGTTCTGGTTGAATACATGGCAGTAGAAACGTTATTGTACGGAGTAATTATGCGGTTTGTATAATGGTGGGTTGGACGGTGTGCTTAGTTGCTCATTGAGAGATTCATTCGCTGTGTTGTCTAGTAATGCTTACGGACAATCGGCAGTGTACAGTAGGATAAGTATAACGGAGCTACCCATTCCAGAACGAGCATCAATCATGGACATATGACAATGTGATCTATTTGGGCCTATCGCTGGCCAGTAATCAGATGACACCAGGTGGTACATCGGTGATTTGTATGCCCAAAAGTTCAGGAACGGCTAAGGATTGGCGCACATCAGTCGGAAGACGGCTATGCGAGTATCGAGTGGTGTCAAGTGAAGCTATGAACCGTAGGGCGGCCATGGCCCGTAAACACCTCTACGTTTGTCGAGATGGATTGCGTCGTTGGTCGAAGTAAGCGCAGTGCACGGCCAGAGAAGAAGGATCACCCATTGAATATGAGAGACGGAAGAAACCAACAGACACTGGGCTGTTGGTTCGGATTGCTTTTGAAATGGGGCTTGGCGACAAATTTCACGTGAAACCGCAGGTTCGGCACTTAGGAATGGTACGATGAAGTAAGGGGGTGACGTAGGCCGATGAAAAAATCCCCATGCAAACGAAAAGTTAGGTAGCACATCGTCTCCAAGCAATCATCAGTCAGTCGCGATCCTTGGACATGCTGACTAGGGTAGAAGGGACACGATTGCCGAGAGAGAACGTGCCCAGATTCCCATCTGCATCCGCACTCTAGCAATTTGGCAGAGGTTCAATGTGACAGAAGTACGGGAGCAAAAGTGCATGTTTGTTGTTAGTACTGAGGATAGCAACTGTTGTGAGCGAAAATGGTCGACGGTTCTGGGAAATGAAACAATGGGATGCAGAAAGTGTCGGGGAAGGACAGATGCAGGGGTGGGAACCATGCGGGAGATCAAACTATCAGACAAAGCAATTTGATACGAAGCACCACGGCCATTGTGCAGCGATACCTGGGGGCGCAAGTGACGGAGTTGAGAGCGCTTGTTGCGGTCGCCAGGAAAGGAAAAGAGAAATATGTCCCTCAGATGCCGACAAACGGGATATGCAAGGGACATATAGCAGATTAATTGCAAAAATGGTAACCGAGCAAACAAAGGAGAAATGTAGCACCGAAGAATTGTAAGAGTCAACTAGCAAGTTATGAAGAGCGACGACCGGACGACCAAATGTCGAGAGGACAAATTTCAAAATGTGCTTCGTAGTAGTTTAACGAACGAGGTAAAGCGCGAAGCCTGATCACAGTTAGTATCTTTAATTGTAGAGCTAGTGAAGAGAATGCCATGCGATAAAAGACCAAACGTCAAAAGTGCAAGGGTTGCTGTACAGACACACCGACTATGTCCTGCATGTAATCGTGCGAAAATAGATACGTTATTAATAGGGATATACTGCTTATGTGTTCCGCATTCACCCTTTGGCATGCATTGCATACTGCGCTCTCTACGCACCTCGATTAACCGGACCCTCGTTCGTAGGCTGTTCCCAGTAGTCCGCAGGTAGAACAGAAAGTAGGTAACAAAGCAATAACAATTTTTGTTGCCGTAGGCGGCAACGAGCTGAACAAGAATGCCAGTAATGCAGCTGGCAGAGACGCAGTGCTAAACTAATAAATGAGTGGAAGAAATCCCAGCTCGAAGAGACGGAGCACAAGTGTACGAAAAGCGGTAAGGCATGATGCATTCGGGCGGGAGGCACGCTGTAAGATAACGCAAATGAACCACACCACTAACACCGACTAACTGGAGCTGGGCGATTAGGCTAATGGGCCGAAGACATTTCACGACAAGTGGGAGACAGAAGCGATCAAAGAGAAGAATCAAGGAGCAAAACAACAAAAATGACGGAAAAGAAATTTCAAGAAGCGCCAGTTGTCAAAAGAGCAGCTGTGATCAACACAAATTCCTGGTTGAAAACAATCATTGAGTGGAAAGCTTGGCCCAGATAGTGCACACTCACTCCGTTTGCGGAAAAAGCCAGCAGCCAGTAGAGTTGGAGACTGTTCGTAACCCGCGGCTTCTGTTTGATCCTCCTCATTCTCCTTGCAATCGTGGTAAATCTGGTCAACCAGATTACTGGTAGCAAACAGACAATCCAGCAGACCATCAACAGACAAGAGACATGGATCCGGATCAAATGGCTGCCCGCGCTTGCGCATAGACAAACGTAGGTGGTTATGTCTCTCGTGACCAGATCCGAGTAGAGAAAAGGTTGAACGGATCCCTAAGCTCGGGGTAAAAAGTAGCGCGGGACGTGTGAGCAACTCAAACAGGCGACTGGTGCGATGTGATGTCCATACAGCACGCTTAGAGACGAAAGAATGTCGTAAAGAATCCCTAATGAGACTTCGTCTTGAGGAATTAGTACGACCGGCGGTAAAATGCAAATGTTCCCGTTGACAAACGACCGCGCTGGAGGAGGGAAGAGCTGACTTCTTTCTCATATTTTTCTTTAGTAACCCCGTAGGACTGGACTCAATGTTCACGGAGCGGCAAGGTGTCGAGGATATGGAGGAGCGGCACTCTGCGGAAAAAGCTTCTTCGGGTATAACGGAACTCATTAGAACCAAATGATGGTGCGCGCTGAAAATAAAGACGGAGGCGTTTGTGATGTACATGGTATACCAATTCGCTAGAGAGAGATCGAGATAGAGTAAAAAGAACAAACTGCTCAAAGCAATTGTATGAGAATATAGGAGGTAGAAGAGATATTAAAAAAGCCAGTCACGGAGGATAAGTGAAGGAGGACGCAATGATAAAAGTTTCCGCAAGTGGAAGCAAACGTCTTGCATTGCTTATACGAACCGCTCGAAACAGAAGCTGAGCCAGGAACTTGATGTGATTGTGAAATGCGGAACCCAGGTCAACTAGCCGAGGTAGCAGATCCGGGTAAGAGCGACACTGAGACCACAAGGACTGAAAAGTAAGACTCATGTGGCAAAGATTGTTGATCTCATTGCGAAGCATATTGGATGACTCGGTTAGTAAACAGATGGACTCAAGATCGGACAAAGTGGATTCGTGATCACGAATAAGCTGACCAAGATCGCTTGAGGCTGGGTCAGAACGTGGTTCCTGAGATTCTGAAACGTCAGGTAGGCCCCAGTTTTGAACAATCCGTATCCGCAGACTTTCCACGCGATGAGCCAGAAAATCATGAAGACCCGTGAAGACAAATAGCATGTGTAAGCGCAGTAGTAACATGTAATGGTATGAAGTGAGATCGAGTTCAAGACCAGCCAGCTGCGAAAAATGCAAAGTCTCCAGCAGCCACTTTGTATACTTCACCTGTCGAAACAGACGAAAGATGAAAAACAAGTTAGTGTGCAAAAGCGGGTCAGCTAAATCGTATAAAGACCACCAGGACAGTGAGTTCATACAAAAATGATTGGTAGGCGAACTGGAGCAGAGGAGTTAACCACGTAAAACGCAATGACTGCCATTTGTAGTAAAGCGAAGAACAACGCATGGTCCATGGGCTCTGATGATATCACAGTGTCGAAAATTGCACGCATATAACTATCCGATTCCTATATTGAATTCAGCCATACGCAATCTGTTCAACCTTATACTCATCAGTTTTCGTTCGTAACGCAGAGAATTTAATCAAATACCCATCTAAATTTAACCCAGATCGCACTGAAGGGTCAGTCGTGCACCTTGCATGAGAGATCCTACGTACGTGTGGAATGTGTGAGCGGTGCAAACATTTCGGGGTCAGTACGCCCAATGGCCAGAGTGGGACAACATGATAGCCAAACGGCGGACATCACACGCGATTGGCATACGGGGGCATCAGTTTAGTTCCGAAACGTCAAGATGATTTCACGCGTCTGACTTATAAATGGAAACGTCCATACGGTTCCGATAGTCCTTCTCTGGTCAGCGGAGTTGTCACTTCTGCTTTCCCCCAGTTTGGTTGCACGGAAACCGCACGCAGCGGACAAGGCGAAAAGAAAAAATTCCTCATAGTCTACCTATCAAGTTTGTTTTTACATGCTTTTATAGGTTTTTATATGATTTTTTAACATTTAGATCACATTACGCGCGATGGGAAGAAGAGCAACGTACGCCCGTCATCCGTCTGATGTAAAGGCTCTTATCCTGAAGAGGGCAACGGCTGGAAGAGCATTGCATCACTGTTACTGGTAAATGTAAAGACATGTAGTAGCTGGGTTAGAACATCAGAATTGAATGAGCCGACAAGAGATCGTAGGGTGTCGCTTCGAAAGTGTCTGTCAGGTAGTCACATGGACTGCTTGGTGACATGGGTGGAATCGGACCCTACGGTTACCTTGGAAACTCTTCAGTTACGACTGTAGGTGGAGGTGAGCGTCAGCACAATCGCTCGCTACCTAGACGGTCGCCTCGTGACAATGAAAAAAATTACATGCAATACCGGAATCCATGAATACGATGGATAGCAAAAGGCTAAGGAAGGCGTACGTGTTGAAGTTGCTGAACTTGGAGGCAGAAGGACGGCGAGCGGTATGGATAAATGTGACGAACTTTAATCTGTTTTGCGCTCGCACAAGAGGACGTTCAGCACGTGGCACCCGTGCGCAATGTATGGTGCCGAACACCCGGGGACAAAATCTGCACCTGATCAGCGCGATGCACGAAGATGGATTGCTCGGATATTCTGTCCTAAGAGGCGCGCTGGTTGCGGCCACTGCTTCATACCAATGGCATCCATTTCGCCGAAAGCTGTCTCCTTATTTGTGATAACGTATCCTGTCACACTGATCTGCAGCGTATCTTTCAATAGGAGTCTTACAGCGCAAAGACTTCTACCACTGGCATCGTACTCTCCGCAACTGAACCCACTCGAGGGCATTTGAAGTATCATTAAGTCCTACGTTAAACAAACCATGAGGCGGCGATATTCCGAAATGCTCCGAGGGGATTCGGATGGCGCACTGAGCAAGACTGAATGGAGGATGCAGTTCTTGGAGCAGGTTGTTGCAGAAGCACGTGACTGCGTGACGCTGTATCACTGTCAAGAAGTGGTGCCGCATGTACGAAATAACTGTTACACGTGTTTTGCTCCTACCCGTTCAACACCCCTGATATATTTATTGTTAACGTTCACTGATATTTTTATTTAAAAGCAATGTAGGGTACATTGTGGCTTTCAGTTGAAATTACCTCTGGCTCTGCGAAGGTTCACTCGGGGATAGCAATAGTTACTGTAGACTACGATTACAGTGGGTTCTCGCTGCAGTGATAAACCATGTGTGTTAACCGGTCGTTATGTAGTACATTGAGAGCTACCGATATTGCGAAGACATGTCACACGAAATTGTACACCTTCCTGGGCGTATATCACAGCTACTGATTACCATAGGCGTCGGTGATTTGCTGTATGATCAATGCATACTACCCGGCCGGGAGTCCGTCCATCAAAGTGAGCTACGGTCAAACTTCATCTAATGCTTGCCGGCACTCTGCCTAGGGGAATGTGGCCACCAGCCTCACCAATGCAGGGCGAGACTGTCGACAAACTCGGTATGTTTGCACAAACTGAGTTTCAGTAGCTTATTGCCGAAGCTTCAGTTCACAGAAGCAGGCAGTGACGCTCTGTTGGTTGATTATGCCTAATGTTTCACAAGGGTTCTCACACATGGAGCAGTCAAGCATGTGTCGGGAGATCGAACTGGCAGGCAGCGTTTGACCATTCGCGACTAGGTTTCTAGGAAAATGCTCTGAAATCCTTGTGGACAGTGTTCACTCAGTTCGACAAACGTACTCACTACCCTAAGTACAGTGAAACAGGTAAATGATTGAGGTGGTAACTTCAGAGTCTGGCTTGTCCAGGTTGGATTTAAACAGCAACTTGTAACCTTGGTACGATAGCACAAGCTCAGCGGCGTATTAACACTTTCATATATTGTCGATGACGATATAGAAATCTGTCATTTTGGTCGCCTTTGAATGGTAGCGTTATGAACACTTTTCTTAGGGACTTCGGGCACCCGTTCGTTCCTAGTACTCGCGTTCGCCTTTGAGTGCTGTGCTGTGAACTTCTCTGGATATCAGTCTTTATGTAATGTCGAGGAAACTCGTTGCTGCTACAGAACTCCCGCTCACCTAGAGCTTAAGTTAAAAAAATGAACGCTCGATATGTGCCATCTGACGTGAGTAGCTACTTTAGAAGGAAGAATAGCTGCACGTCCAAAGCGTGTACGCTTTTGTGTGTCTGAGTTTGTGACAAATGCTGGTTGGAGAGGAGAAAGAGCACTGGAGCCGTACATCGGTTGGGTGGGTGGAATTCTCTGTGCGGAGTTTGTTCAGCGTCAGTATCGGGAGTCTGTTGCGGTGACTGGAATTGGACGTAGGCTGGTTTCAGGCTATCCATACTGGCAGAGTCTTTAGAGCAAATTCTGTCCGATACCAAATGCGGCCGTTTGCCACCGCTGACTGAAAGGGCCTTCGTAAGACGGTGTCAAATGCTTGCGAACTCCATCGATGCGTACGAAAACGAAGGGGCACGTGTGCAAGTCGGAGTGAATATGGTGGTTTCGTGAAGTGGATTGCATTGGCGTTGGACGAATGACGCTGAGGTATCGTTCCAGTCGTGCAACACATGATGTAAGATCGACTTCGCCGGTGCCCCTGAAATCTGGTACTAATTCTCCATAAAGTCTCATTGTCGTACCGAAGACTAATTCTGTGAGACAACAACCGACATTTTCCTTCACAATGTTGCGGATACCGAGGAGAATGCTCGGTAAACGCTCTGACCACTGGATATCCGATTGCGTAGCAGTGAATGCGGCTTTGAGTTGGCGGTGAAAATGCTCGACTAAACCGTTGGCAGCCGGATGATATGCTGTCGTACGTAAATGAGAACAGCCAAGCATGCGTTTAAAGTCGCGAAATAGTGCAGAATTAAATTGGGGTCCTCCATCCGTGGTGATAGTGGTGGGGCGCCAAATACGGATATCCAAGTTTCGAGGAAAGCTCCTGCCGCCGTCTCGGCTGACTTCGCGCAGCGGCACGGCGTGTGCTCAACGTGTGAAGTGATCGACACATGTCAACACGTAAACGAAACCGTTGGATGGCGGTCGAGGTTCAACGATGTCAGTATGGACGTGCTTTAATCGGGCGTCGGGCAGAGAAATGGTTCCAGGAACAGTAATCGTGTGGCGACTTACCTTGCTATCCTGGCAAGTAATACAGTGTTTCGCCCACCGCTGGATATCAGAGCTCATACTGGGCCAGATGTAGCGATCCGTAATCCACTTGATGGTAGCACGGCTACTCGGATGGGAGATTCCATACAAGTGGTCAAACATAACTGTTGCGGAACGAATTTTCGAGGCTTTCCGGTGGATATATCAGTAAATTCGGGAGTCCGAGTTGAGGACAGGCAGTTGAAAAAGCTTAGTAGAAGGATTTTATTTCAACTGCTCAAACCCAGGATCTGTTTCTTGTTAAGCAGTTTGTTTGCTTGGCGCGAAACCTCGGGAAGATCAATGCCGGACAATACGTCGACTACAATACTGTGAGCTGCATCAATGTGTCGAATGTCCGTGGAAAACTGTTATGTGTAATCCAACTGACGAATTTCTCGAAGGAAGAAGCGACCAGAGGAACCACGAAAACAATAGTAAGGGGCTTGTGATCCATAAGGATGGTAAACGCACGTATTTTAATGAGTCGTTTGATCGGAGTTGGATAAGCTCAGGATCATTGGCCTGTGCGGCAGGTATTCTCTCCAGGTCGATGGGTGTCAGTTACAGTTGACTCAAATGAGCACGCGATAATGTATCAGCAACAGTGTTGTTGGGACCGTCGATGTAACAGATGTCCACACAGTTGGGTATGAATCTGTCGTAGTAGTTGACTATGCCGAGGAATCGGCGTAGGTTTCTGACATATGGTGGCATGGGTGATCTAGTATCGCTTGGGTCTCATCCGGAAGAGGTTTGATGCCATCACCATCGATCCTGTACCCCAGAAACTCAACCATGGGCTCACCAAATGTGCCATAGTTTTCACGTCAATCAGTCCAATCTGCATCGGCTGTTTTAACTAGTGAATTAGCGATTTCTCGACGTGTTCCGTTCTATCACAACTAAGCGGCTCGTGTCAGCTAGAACTGTGCATTTTTCTAACTTAGTCATCTTTGTTCCTCATAACTGCTGCTATTCCCTTATCCGGTCCCAGTGTTACCACACTCTCATTTCGCCATAATTCCATTAAAGACTTCTAGTGGTGTTTCCTCAAAATTCTGCACCTTTCCGTTTAGGTAACACAAAATTGGTTGGCCAGTTCTACTGTTTTAGTCTTAAACCAACCATTTGCGTAATCAGTGGCAGGTTTAAGAGTGGATAATTGCTCGTGTACATTTTCAAGCTTAAATTCAATTTCTATTCTGTCAGCTTTACTCGATGGTACCGAGAAATTAAATCCAAGTGACAGCGTCCCAAGCCGTAGACGACTTAATGAGACAGAGGACAATTTAAGCACTTATTTCTCAGGTTCATTTGCCATCTAACCACTGCAGCACTCCACTGACGTTCAGTTTAGTTGTTGCTTTGTTGACAATCGTGTTTTTTAATCACATCACGGCGAAGGTTGTGGAACTTTACTCTGCACACAATATTCAAACTATCTAGGGCAAGGTTGTCACATCCTATTCTTTAATATGAATCAATATCAGAAATCACTTCAGGGTAGAGAATTATTTTCGGTAAACTCTCATCGGACCCAAACGTTTATATAGCACCGATTGTGAGGAAGGCGTCAACTCGGGTTGCGATTCACTTCTGGGCTATTTGAACGATCAAAATCGATAACTGGTGACAGCGATATAGATAGTAAGCCAAGTGAACTAAATAAATGTGCATACACAAAGCTCAGTAGTCCGAAGTAACTAAGTAGGTAAGGTAATAACCAAATAACTGAGTAACAGTGTCAATTGGCCAAGGTAGTATTATCGGCCGTATGAATCGTTTTTGTACACAGTTCCGGCTTCAAATGGTGGGTGTAGATAGCCTCGGTGATGGATAAGAGCTGTTTGCGGAATCCTTGGGATAAGCGTTCAGTTAGTGAGTAGATGACTTTGGAGTCATTCTCAAAAGCTGTATGGCTACATTCATGGAGGTGTAACATGATTGAGCTGTCTGAGGACTTCATTTTGCCTTCGTAAAACCGTGCCGGGATGTGCTCACGAATCCTTTGCGATAGGGGCCTCGTAGTGCGACCCACGTATCGTGCCCCACAGGAGCACGAGAACTGCTAAACGATAATTAAACGGGTCAACGGCGGCAGTCTATCTCAAGGGTTTTGCAAGCAACAGCTTGTTGTGATTAACAATTCTCAGCATCAGATGAACTTTCACCGTAGCCCACTTTGATGGACGGACTCCCGGCCGGGTAGTATGCATTGATCATACAGCAAACACCGACGCCTATGGTAATCAGTAGCTGTGATATACGCCCAGGAAAGTGTACAATTTCGCCTAAGTTAGTTGGAACGGCGTGTGACATGTCTTCGCAATATCGGTAGCTCTCAATGTACTACATAACGACCGGTTAACACACATGGTTTATCACTGCAGCGAGAACCCACTGTAATCGTAGTCTACAGTAACTATTGCTATCCCCGAGTGAACCTTCGCAGAGCCAGAGGTAATTTCAACTGAAAGCCACAATGTACCCTACATTGCTTTTAAATGAAAATATCAGTGAACGTTAACAATAAAAATATAAGGGGTGTTGAACGGGTAGGAGCAAAGCACGTGTAACAGTTATTTCGTACATGTTGCACCATTTCTTGACAGTGATGCAGCGTCACGCAGTCACGTGCTTCTGCACCAATCTGCTCCAAGAACTGCATCATCCATTCAGTCTTGCTCAGTACGCCATCCGAATCCCCTCGGAGCATTTCGGAATATCGCCGCCTCATGGTTTGTTTAACGTAGGACTTAATGATACTTCAAATGCCCTCGAGTGGGTTCAGTTGCGGAGAGTACGATGCCAGTCGTAGAAGTCTTCTGCGCTGTAAGGCTCCTCTTGAAAGATACGCTGCAGATCAGTGTGACAGGATATGTTATCACAAATAAGGAGACAGCTTTCGGCGAAATGGATGCCATTGGTATGAAGCAGTGGCCGCAACCAGCGCGCCTCTTAGGACAGAATATCCGAGCAATCCATCTTCGTGCATCGCGCTGATCAGGTGCAGATTTTGTCCCCGGGTGTTCGGCACCATACATTGCGCACGGGTGCCACGTGCTGAACGTCCTCTTGTGCGAGCGCAGAACAGATTAAAGTTCGTCTCATCTATCCATACCGCTCGCCGTCCTTCTGCTTCCAAGTTCAGCAACTTCAACACGTACGCCTTCCTTAGCCTTTTGCTATCCATCGTATTCATGGATTCCGGTATTGCATGTAATTTTTTTCATTGTCACGAGGCGACCGTCTAGGTAGCCAGCGATTGTGCTGACGCTCACCTCCACCTACAGTCGTAACTGAAGAGTTTCCAAGGTAACCGTAGGGTCCGATTCCACCCATGTCACCAAGCAGTCCATGTGACTACCTGACAGACACTTTCGAAGCGACACCCTACGATCTCTTGTCGGCTCATTCAATTCTGATGTTCTAACCCAGCTACTACATGTCTTTACATTTACCAGTAACAGTGATGCAATGCTCTTCCAGTCGTTGCCCTCTTCAGGATAAGAGCCTTTACATCAGACGGATGACGGGCGTACGTTGCTCTTCTTCCCATCGCGCGTAATGTGATCTAAATGTTAAAAAATCATATAAAAACCTATAAAAGCATGTAAAAACAAACTTGATAGGTAGACTATGAGGAATTTTTTCTTTTCGCCTTGTCCGCTGCGTGCGGTTTCTGTGCAACCAAACTGGGGGAAAGCAGAAGTGACAACTCCGCTGACCAGAGAAGGACTATCGGAACCGTATGAATGTTTCCATTTATAAGTCAGACGCGTGAAGTCATCTTGATGTTTCGGAACTAAACTGATGCCTCCGTATGCCAATCGCGTGTGATGTCCGCCGTTTGGCTATCATGTTGTCCCACTCTGGCCATTGGGCGTACTGACCCCGAAATGTTTGCACCGCTCACACATTCCACACGTACGTAGGATCTCTCATGCAAGGTGCACGACTGACCCTTCAGTGCGATCTGGGTTAAATTTAGATGGGTGTTTGATTAAATTCTCTGCGTTACGAACGAAAACTGATGAGTATACGATTAAACAGATTGCGTGTAGCCGAATTGAATATAGGAATCGTATAGTTATATGCGTGCAATTTTAGTTAGAGCCCATGGATCATGCGTTGTTCTTGGCTTTACTACAAATGGCAGTCATTGCGTTTTACGTGGTTAACTCCTCTGCTCCAGTTGGACTACCAGGCATTTTTTATTAACTCACTGTCCTGGTGGTCGTTATATCCTTTCACTGACGCGCTTTTGCACACTAACTTGTTCTTCATCTTACGTCCGTTTCGACAGGTGAAGTATACAAAGTGGCTGCTGGAGACTTTGCATTTTTCGCAACTGGCTGGTTTTGAACTCGATCCCACTTCATACCATTACATGTTACTACTGCGCTTACACATGCTATTTGTCTTCACGGGTCTTCATGATTTTCTGGCTCATCGCGTGGAAAGTCTGCGGATACGGATTGTTCAAAACTGGGGCCTACCAGACGTTTTAGAATCTCAGGAACCACGTTCTGACCCAGCCTCAAGCGATCTTGGTCAGCTTATTCGTGATCACGAATCCACTTTGTCCGATCTTGAGTCCATCTGTTTACTAACCGAGTCATCCAGTATGCTTCGCAATGAGATCAACAATCTTTGCCACATGAGTCTTACTTTTCAGTCCTTGTGGTCTCAGTGTCGCTCCTACTCGGATCTGCTACCTCGGCTAGTTGACCTGGGTTCCGCATTTCACAATCACATCAAGTTCCTGGCTCAGCTTCTGTTTCGAGCGGTTCGTATAAGCAATGCAAGACGTTTGCTACCACTTGCCGAAACTTTTATCATTGCGTCCTCCTTCACTTATCCTCCGTGACTGGCCTTTTTAATATCTCTTCTACCTCCTATATTCTCATACAATTGCTTTGAGCAGTTTGTTCTTTTTACTCTATCTCGATCTCTCTCTAGCGAATTTGTATACCATGTGCATCACAAACGCCTCCGTCTTTATTTTCAGCGCGCACCACCATTTGATTCTAATGAGTTCCGTTATACCCGAAGAAGCTTTTTCCGCAGAGTGCCGCTCCTCCATATCCTCGACGCCTTGCCGCTCCGTGAACATTGAGTCCAGTCCTACGGGATTACTGAAGAAGAATATGAGAAAGAAGTCAGCCCTTCCCTCCTCCAGCGCGGTCGTTTGTCAACGGGAACATTTGCATTTTACCGCCGGTCGTACTAATTCCTCAAGACGAAGTCTCATTAGGGATTCTTTACGACATTCTTTCGTCTCTAAGCGTGCTGTATGGACATCACATCGCACCAGTCGCCTGTTTGAGTTGCTCACACGTCCCGCGCTACTTTTCACCCCGAGCTTAGGGATCCGTTCAACCTTTTCTCTACTCGGATCTGGTCACGAGAGACATAACCACCTACGTTTGTCTATGCGCAAGCGCGGGCAGCCATTTGATCCGGATCCATGTCTCTTGTCTGTTGATGGTCTGCTGGATTGTCTGTTTGCTACCAGTAATCTGGTTGACCAGATTTACCACGATTGCAAGGAGAATGAGGAGGATCAAACAGAAGCCGCGGGTTACGAACAGTCTCCAACTCTACTGGCTGCTGGCTTTTTCCGCAAACGGAGTGAGTGTACACTATCTGGGACAAGCTTTCCACTCAATGATTGTTTTCAACCAGGAATTTGTGTTGATCACAGCTGCTCTTTTGACAACTGGCGCTTCTTGAAATTTCTTTTCCGTCATTTTTGTTATTTTGCTCCTTAATTTTTGTCTTTGATTGCTTCTGTCTCCCGCGTGTCATGAAATGTCTTCGGCCCATTAGCCTAATCACCCAGCTCCAGTTAGTCGGTGTTAGTCGTTTGCGTTACCTTACAGTGTGCCTCCCGCCCGAATGCATCACGCCTTACCGTTTTTCGTACACTGGTGCTCCGTCTCTTCGAGCTGGGATTTCTTCCACTCATTTATTTGTTTAGCACTGCGTCTCTGCCAGCTGCATTACTAGCATTCTTGTTCAGTTCGTTGCCGCCTACGGCAACAAATAATTGCTATTGCTTTGTTGCCTACTTTCTGTTCTATCTACGGACTACTGGGAACAGCCTACAAACGAGGGCCCTGTCTAATCGAGGTGCGTAGAGAGCGCAGTATGCAATGCATGCCAAAGGGTGAATGCGGAACACATAAGCAGTATATCCCTATTAATAACGTATCTATTTTCGCACGATTACAAGCAGGACACAGTCGGTGTGTCTGTACAGTAACCCTTGCACTTTTGACGTTTTGTCTTTTATCGCATGGCATTCTCTTCACTAGCTCTACAATTGAAGACACTAACTGTGATCAGGCTTCGCGCTTTACCTCGTTCGTTAAACTACTTCGAAGCACATTTTGAGATTTGTCCTTTCGACATTTGGTCGTCCGGTCGTCGCTCTTCATAACTTGCTAGTTGACTCTAACAATTCTTCGGTGGTACATTTCTCCTTTGTTTGCTCGGGTACTTCATTTTTGCAATTACTCTGCTATCTGTCCCTTGCATATCCCGTTTGTCGGCATCTGAGGGACATATTTCCCTTTTCCTTTCCCGGCGACCGCAACAAGCGCTCTCAACTCCGTCACTTGCGCCCCCCAGGTATCGCTGCACAATGGCCGTGGTGCTTCGTATCAAATTGCTTTGTCTGATAGTTTAATCTCCCGCATGGTTCCCACCCCTGCATCTGTCCTTCCCCGACATTTTCTGCATCCCATTGTTTCATTTCCCAGAACCGTCGACTATTTTCTCCCACAACAGTTGCTATCCTCAGTACTAACAACAAACACGCACTTTTGCTCCCGTACTTCTGTCTCATTGTACCTCTGCCAAATTGCTAGAGTGCGGATGCAGATGGGAATCTGGGCACGTTCTCTCCCGGCAATCGTGTCCCTTCTACCCTAGTCAGCATGTCCAAGCATCACGACTGACTGATGGTTGCTTGGAGACGATGTGCTACCTAATACTTAGTTTGCATGGGGATTTTTTCATCGGCCTACCTCACCCCCTTACTTCATCGTACCATTCCTAAGTGCCGAACTTGCGGTTTCACGTGAAATTTGTCGCCAAGCCCCATTTGAAAAGCAATCCGAACCAACAGCCCAGTGTCTGTTGGTTTCTTCCGTCTCTCATATTCAATGAGTGATCCTTCTTCTCTGGCCGTGCACTGTGCTTACTTCGACCAACGACGCAATCCATCTCGACAAACGTAGAGATGTTTACGGGCCATGGCCGCCCTACGGTTCATAGCTTCACTTGACACCACTCGATACTCGCATAGCCGTCTTCCGACTGATGTGCGCCAATCCTTAGCCGTTCCTGAACTTTTGGGCATACAAATCACCGATGTACCACCTGGTGTCATCTGATTACTGGCCAGCGATAGGCCCAAATAGATCACATTGTCATATGTCCATGACTGATGCTCGTTCTGGAATGGGTAGCTCCGTTATACTTATCCTACTGTACACTGCCGATTGTCCGTAAGCATTACTAGACAACACAGCGAATGAATCTCTCAATGAGCAACTAAGCACACCGTCCAACCCACCATTATACAAACCACATAATTACTCCGTGCAATAACGTTTCTACTGCCATGTATTCAACCAGAACCTGCGTGCTCAGTACTACCAGTCGTCGTCACTCCAGCTACTCATCCCAAAGATGAGGACCCACTGGGGAGCATTGGGCCCCTGTTTGGCAAAGGAACAAACGAAAGGCGTATGAACTGATCAATCAGTCACCGGCTCCCAATGGGCGCGATTCCCTGAATTCGCTCCGCTGCCTTGCGGACAGGCTATTCAGCCAAAGGCTCGGGGTGGTGTCCCCTAAGTCAACACCCTACTTCGGCTTGGGCAACCGGGTAGTATTTCGCCCTCTGACGAAACCGTGGACATTGTTGTGTTGTGTTGTGTTTTCTTTTACTATTTCTGTACCTTGTTTTGAGTTCCATGGTTTCCGATGGTGCAATGTCTATTCATAGACTGTTGCAAAAATATAGAAATATAGATAAGAACATTCTCCAACGGCACCGAACACAATACAGTCAAATTGGTAATCTAATGTCGGTTAAAACAGACTACGAGCCCGTTAAGAAAGCCCAGCAGTCTCAGGATGGTTCGAGAGATGCGAAAGCAAGGGACGGATGGTAACTTCCGCAGACTTCCCATGTGACAGATCCACGAGTCCCACAAAGTAATCTATCCGTGACGCAACTACAGTCGGCACTCACCCTGATTCACCACAAGAAGCGCCGTTTGGTGGTATGATGCTTTTAAGAGTAGTTCAGTTGCTCTCCTGTCCCTATACCAATGTGTTGTACTACTTCACCACTCGTATATTGATCAGCTGCAAGCTAACGTTGATGTTTCGTAAGTTATGCTTTTTCATCGCAGTTGAGTTAGAGTGACTTACACTTACACGCGTTTCCCGTTACACTAGACCTGGCTGAATCCATTTTATTTTATTTGCTCATTTCTGTTAATCCTCGGCATCGTCCCTGTTCATTTTGCACCTTTTTCTATCGTTTTCGTTGGTTATTGATTGGTATCCTCTGATCTAAACTTACGTTTACCCAAGACCACTCTACTAACACTAGACCAGACTTGATGTATTTTTTGCGTTCCTCCTGTTCCACTGTACTGCCAACATTTACTGCCTAGTTTGTGTGTTTATCCTTTTTCATGTATTTAGGGTTTGTTATCCTGATGTGCCTGCGCTTGATGTGAATGTCGACAAGGTGCTTACCTGTCTAACACCCTTCACCTCGATTATAATAGCTCCAGGAGACTGAGTCGTGGCTGGGATGGGGACGGGTTGCACGGTTCTCATGACCAAAGTATGTTTCCATCTAGTGTAGAACGGACTACGTCCCAGACACCGCCTTGTGTACGTCTTGTACACGATTCCCCACATAGGTAGACAGGAATGCTGCCGCTGTGCATGCTGAAGGAGTGTGGGCCGGCTCCGTTGAGGAAACGGGGCTCGGCTTTATTCCTTCGCGTTTACAGTGAATATGAAATGTGTGAGTGGCTTGCGTTACACAACCCATAGCTCCAACCACACTCCATATCCAGTAAAAACCCGCAGGAGTGAAATCGTGAGGCATGTAGATGGGATCCACATTTCATCAACGGAGCCGGCTCACACTCCTTCACAGGC